AATGACTCAACTTCAAAATGAGGTCACGTACAGCTCACTGATTCAACACATCGTCGCTAAAAAACAAACCTGACTTTAAACAATTCCCTCTGAGTTACGAACCGAAACTATTGTGTTAATGTGTTGCCTGATACTCCAGCCGTATGACAGTATTTACAAATAAACGATTTCGGTTCTGTATTTCATCTCGAATAAAGCTGGAAACATTTTGCCAGTCACAAATTAACCCTGCTGTTCGAAGGAGTCATCAAAGCAGTAAAAAATATATTAGCACATAGGCATAAAATTGAATAATTATAAATAAATTTTAAAATTTAACTTTTAAAATTTACGAATTAAGCATGCACTCATTAAATAATCTATCATGGGACAACGACAGCCTGCAAGTGAAGCTACTGGACAGAACAGAAGTAAGACCTGCGAACCACGGATAGGCCAAATTCCCTAAACCATTCGTAGCTCATCGACTTACTCTCAATAAACAAACTTATGGTGCATTAAATTCGCCATTATGAATATTTTATATACGTAGTCAAATCGAAAACATGTTTTTTCGCATTAAACAAGATTAAGCTTAGTCTATAAACTTGACTTACATCTGTCCTGGTCGAATATGCAATATGCTTCGCCTTCTTCAACAACTTAGCTTGTTGGCGCTTCCGCTTTCGGGCACAGAGATACTGTGATTTAACTGTTCTCGTCATTGGCAAACCGTTGACGTTATACCTTAATATCTAAAACATTTTTTCGCGCTTTAAATGGCTCTTATAAGCCGAAAAACATGCGTCCTTCGTGTACATTATTCGAACTTTTCACATGAATCGCTAAAATAAATATTAGAATGTTATATCATTTAACAGAAAAATTACCAAGCGAAGCGACTAACTTTTCCAGAAGGGTTTCATGCGCATTTTAAAATGCAAGACTAAATAGAGAGATGTTTTCTGTCGCACACAAGATGTACTGTACATTACCTATTCGATTTGCAAGTGAAAACCGAAGAGTACTGTTATAATAAATACGATGTCCATTCTGATCCATGAACGTTTGAAAAAGTATACTACTGTTGACAAAACAATTCCAATCGGTTTTACATTATATTTATGCGTTATAAAAACCAATTAAATTTATTATTTTTCATTAAAATTGCAATGAATACAGTTGTAGGTAACGCATCGCTGCGAACGACCCAGCTTTCTGAGAGTCCAGGGAAAGATATATGAAAATGACTAAATGCTGTTTGTGTCCGAATTCACTACACCTTAGGTTCAATAGCGCATTGGTCAGATCTTCTGAAGCGCATGTCTAAGCAACGGCCGATGCCGCCGCATGGCATCGCTGTTGACTATTGGGTGTTGCATTTCCGCTGAGTCGATTTTTCAGATGAACAATTTAACAGGTTGAAATATTTTACTCTGATGGGCCAAAAATCATTTATGTCATTGAAGAAACAGAAAACTATGGAACAGATCTCACAAATGTGTTAAGAAGGAGGGGCTACCTGGAATAGCTGACTAAGATGCAGCAGTGGCTTCAGATCAGATTTATGCACTGTCGACTAGATCTCTGTCTTATAGACTGTTGAAAAGTTGTCGAAGTTCATTCATCTGATTTACATTTGCGCTATGAATTTAGAAAAAAGCTGTGAATGAATACCGTTCAACAAGCTGTTTTTGACTGCTGATGCATGGGATAGATTGTCAGTTGCTTTGAAGCATCCAGTCACTGTTTATTCATAGTAGGTGCTATTTAGGAGAAACCAGCGTTAAATTGAAACTTTTGAACATCGACACAAATCTCTTCGAAGGCAGCGTTCCTCCTACTCCCTTCTTCATGCAATGCAACGCATGTATAAGATAGTAAGGCGTAGCCAAAGCGATGAGTATATCAACTGAGAACTGTACAGAAAATGAGTTTGCCGTTTGCTTGTTTTATTCGCATCTCCCGAAACTGATGTAGAAAGGTTCGCAGTCGAGTATAGCCTATACGTCATGCATGTAAATCTGTCTACAGCAATAATCGCTCTGCGTCCTCCTTCTCCTGCCTGTTGCGCTCAGTAAGTAAACGTTCCTCTGGCAATAGAAAATGGTATCGACCGAATAATCAAATAATTTGAATTGCCAGCGACGTTCTGCGTGAACTAGACCTAACCGTTGTTATTAAAGCAGAGCTGAGTCTGAAGACTAAGCTCATTGTGTTTAAGTCGATCTTCATCCCCATGCTAATCTGATATCATGAACTGTGTGCCGTGAATGTAGCCATTAATTTTAAACGTAAATTCATAGTCCTAATGCATGCGATAGTGAAGGACGTCATTGTATTTTATACTGAAATTAATGCCAACTGTAACATCTAAAACGATTTCTAATTGGCGTGTCTCTCCTATGCGTAACTGTTTTGAATGGCATAGGCTGTGTTACTCTGGCTACGCTAGACAGTTAACTAGCTGTTTCAGAGTTGATGGTATGTCTTTGTCAAACTACAATGCTACCTTAGTAGTACATACGTCGTTGTGTTTTGGTCTGCCAGATGGTTTCATGGTTCGAGCACTATTCTTCCTTTTCAAATGGGTCACTTTGTTGTACTTATCTGGTAAAATAACACTATTATTAAAACAAGCGACCGAAAGGATTATATGAGGTGCAAGATCGGTCGATTCGGTTTCGATCATTGTCGGAAGTAAGAATATGAGTTTAATGTGCATCGGATGGCCTTATTGCTGCTAAGGTAACTAATATGAAAACGCAATCGGTGAAGATGAGCGGACATCACAAGACTTAACCAGATTTTAGGTTTGCGAGGTTGTTAAATACTATGATGGCAAAACGCTACCGCCAGAATTTTATGCATCTACCGTAAAGATTTGCGATTTCAATTTTGCGTTTCAGTGTAGGTTTCGTTTAAAGCAGCTTGCTCTTATTATTTGCTGTATTACATAAAAGTGACTTGATGCGACTTTTGTTTAAGTCGAATGGATGTGTGTGTGTGCGTGTGTGTGTGTGTTAATACTTGTGAATACTACTATGCTACTTAATTCAACCGTCCTGGAGTATAGTTGAAGCAGATCTGCTTCCAGAAGGGAATTGTTCTTCTACAACACAGTAGTTGGTGACCTAATAAACGAGTTGTAGAGTTACGAATATATCAGTCGTCATGAGATAGAGAAATTTTGCTTGTGTAGATGGTTGAAGGTGATAAATCTAAGTAAGACAACCCGCACATTTAACCGAGTAACTCCTGTCGAATACCTTGCTTTTAACAAGTAATTACGGGCCATGGTCAATCCCTGCCGATCTGTTCATGCTAGATAAATGCATTTCATTGTCTTCCAGAAGGAAACGGGAGAGGAGGCGCTGTTCATGCTTTTACACGAATGTACGCAAACTGCTCTTATCATAACGGCGTTTGACACCGCACCATTATGTCTCAAACAGAGCAGCTAGCCGTTCTCTCTGATAACGGAGAGGAAAATGGGTAGATGCCCTAGTCTGTGCAAAATGAACTTTTTCTTGCTCTCCAAGGTCATCACCTGCCTACGTCGACTAGGTTTATACTACACCGCCACCGCCTCCTTGCTCCTATCTACCTAGTGGAGACAGTTAAGCAAGTCACTATTCCATGTTATTTGGGCACCTGCAGTGCCAGATGTATCTCACATCAGTCTGTCCGCTAGCACCACCTCACGCTAGTAACGAATAAGGTTTCCGCAGTTTTAACTTCTCGTATGCTACTCCACAATAATCATAAGTTATTCCTTTATCCAAGCATGTATATATTCATATCGATATATGTATGTAAGTTAGCTGTGACAAATAATGAGTTGTATAAGGGCTACGGTGAGACATCAAGGCGTCGCTAAGTTCGACCTCGACAACATCGATCCTCAGAAAAATTCATAATGCTTAATGAGAGTCTCATCACAAGGCGAAAGCGACCTGGTATCACCACTGTCTTACACTTCGTTAACGGCTAGAAGAGACAACTTCGATAAATGCCGGACAGAAAAAAGGGACTCGCCAGCCATCATTGTCGACAAAAAAGCTGTGGCTGACAAAATAAATCGGGGCGGTGGCCGAAATATCGAAAACATGGATTAGCCTACAGAAAACACTTGTAAAGTTTCCATAGCCATTCTAAATAGATTTAAGGAAACAGTTGACTCTTTCTTTAGTGCATGTCGTAGACGATGAGTACGAGATGTCGGATAATCAAGACCAAGGCTGTTTATCAGAAATGGCATTGAATATGAATATATGAAAGTATAGGAAAAAGAAAAGGAATATAGACGAGTTTTATCATGTAGCTGGTGAGAGCTAGAAACTCCAGCCGAAACCTGATCTCATCCAAACGATAATTTGCATTGTGCGCGTATTTCAAGTAAAAGTCTTCCATAGTTGTTCATGGCTCCCACGTTGTCAAGTTTTTTCGAACTGCTACGGTAAAATAGATATTTTAATGAAATGTGATCCAATGATATATACAAAAAATGGTCATCAGCACGTAACAAAGTAGATGACTGAGAGGACGAGTCGAATAATTCCAGTTCAATTCTGAAACAAAAGTTCACATATATACTTAGTCAAGCAATTTATACCTGGTTTAACAGTGACGTCAGTTTTGGTTTGATTCGCACCCTTGTTTTCGAAAAAGTTTAATTGCATCAAATCGTCGTCCTTACTGAACTGATCAGCAACGGCTCCAGCTAAAATAAAATTCGCAACAAATAAAGCCTGCAGAGTTTGAATTTCGGTGAATAAAACTATATGAAAAATCAACAAAAAAACAAATCATAAACATCAATACTAGCATTAATACTATGCATGAAAAAACATCAATACTAACAAATCATAAAAATTCGAAAAATAATCATAAGTAGATTGCACAGTAACTCTCCTCACAACGGGGTATAATGACGTGTATCAGTCCTTCCCTATAGGGCATTGTTGTAAAGCAGCCCAAGCTATTCTTAATCCAAGACTGAAAACGTTATCATGCCCGTAACTTAACTAAACATTACCTTTTGTACCTGGAACAGATTTGTTCCTCGAACGGCATTCCCCCTGCTGGTACCAAGAACATGTACGGTATTCCAGTCAACACTATGTGCCGTTTTGAATCTAGGCACC